CCATATGTGAAAGTATGGACTCATACAGGAGGTCAAAAAACTCAATATACAAATGGAGACCGTTCAAACTTTTGGCTTGGCATTCCATTTGCTGACTCAGAAGACTTTATGGGTGGTATTTCAACTGTTGGTACAGTTCAAATACAATATACTGGTGACAGAGACGGTCCAGATGAACTAAAAGCAAAGAAGTTTACAAAACCAATAGCACTTTTCACGGAAGATGCTCTTTTGAAGATTCGTTCGATGAAACCTGCTGGGGCTCCTCAGATTGGCATAACGACAGCTTCCATCGAGCAGATTTTTGGCAGCAGGTCAGTAAGTTGTTCTTGAACTGACTTCTCTCCGTCAAATATTGACAGTACGCCAGTTTTGACATAAAATTGTATTATAAACTTACCTTTAGAAATATCTGTAAGTTTTGTTGTTATATTTTTGTCTGCTTCAAGAACTTTCACCATTTCAGTTATACCAACTCTCTCTGCTTTATGAAAATATTTTGGTTCAGCAAAGACTGCTATTCTATAACATTTTCCATTGTTTGTGTAAAGAACTATTCTGTCAATGTATTTGTATTGTTTGTGTGTGTAAACTTTGTTCTGCTTCAATTCAATAAGATATCCGAATACGTCCATCTTTTTATTCTAAGTAAAATGTCATTTCCGAAAAATAGAAGCGTAAGTGTTTCAAAAGGTTTAATGGCGGTGGCAGATGTGAAGTTAAATTCACCAACTCAAACAAACAGTCAAAGTGTTGTTGTCAATGTCAAAGAAAGAGATGTTGAAGTGGGGAAACCATACGAGGACGAAGATGGTATAACAATAGTTCCTGTAAAAGAACAACCAACATACCCTGAAGTTAGCAGAGACTTAAGTTCTGTTGCAGATATTCGAAACGACTACCAACAACTTAAAGACAAACTTAAAACTCAGGAGAAGATTTGTCAGGCTTTAGGTATAATGTTAAACTTGGTCGAACACAACCCTGTAAAAGTGAACTCATATGTCATCGCACCTCATGAAGTTTTGAAAGAACTATTGAAACTTTTGACAGAGGCAGACGATATAAACATCAAAGAAATAGAACCCGACATTGCTTGCTGTGGTGTTGCATATAATGTCATTGACAAGATATACGTTATGAAAGGAGGTGAAACGTTGAACTTAAAATATAGTTTCCCAGACGTCATAAAAATATTTGACGACCACAACATTTCATTAAAATTTATTTGCTAAGTAAATGGCAGAAGACACAATGGTTTATACTATTACGACTAAAAACCCTGAGTCATATAATTCTATAACAACAAACTTACAAAGTCCTCAAGGACGATATTGTAAACTAACTTTAAACACAATGACGACTAAAGCCTGTTTTGCTCTTTTGACACCAGAAGATTTTATTGTTGTGAATGGTAAAAAATACTCCTTTGAAGATACTTACTCAGATATACCACCAACAGGTTTTGTTGACTTATTTAATACTTTAAGGACGGATGTAACATGTGCTGCAACTAGAGCAGGTTTCATTATGTTTGGATGTCCGACTGAGTTTACTATAAACAATATGAGCTATAATACAAAACTTATATCTGGTTTTTACTACCAACAGTTTCCTATAACAGGAAAAGGTGTCATACAAGGAATGTCTATTCCATTGACATTAAGCACACCTATTTTATATATTGTTTCAAACTTAGGTTCAAAGTGCTATTCGAATGTCGACAGAAACTACTATGACCAAAAGATACTTATGCGTATAAACAACACTTTCTCTGCTGGTTTGCCTATTGTTCATTCGAATGCAGAGTTTTCAGCTTTAGTAAACTCAAACACTTTAGCAAACATAAACTTAACCTTAGTTGACGCAAACTTTGTTCCTGTAAAACTTTTATGTCCTATGTATTTGTCAATGACGGCAGAAAGTTTCGAATTGGAAGATGCAACTGGTGAAAGTATTGTATTACAAGAACAACTTCAACAACAAATAGCTCAAGAACAACAAATGCAACAAATGCAACAAATGCAACAAATGCAACAAATAGCTCAAGAATAAAAAAAATATTTTTTTTATTTTTATAAAAATGTACAGAATAGATGTTTCAGATTTTTATGACTTCCAAGCCTTCAGAAATATGTGTCCATTTCGAGACTATAACAAAGCAGTCGAGAATTTGAAACGTTTAGTCATTTATGTCGACTCTGCCCCAGAATGTTATGTTATGAAAGAATGGGATGTTGTCTTTAACAAACCAAGAGCAACAATAGTTTCAGAACAAGAATGTAGACAGAAACTTAAGAAAATAAAAGTCGTACAAGTTGGCATGAAGATGTTAGATGCTTGGGATATCTTATTGTCAAAGTTAGAAGATTTTTCAGTTCGAGGTATAAAGTTCTATACACCTTCTCCAAACTTCTATTCTATCTTCACTGGATATAAATACGAACAAGTAGAATGGAAAGAAAATATTATAGAAGCTTGGTTAGACCATGTCAAAGAAATTATATGCAATGGAAACGAAAGAGTCTATGAGTATATCTTATGTTGGTTTGCAAACATCTTACAACATCCAAGTGCTAAAAATGAAACTGCTCTCATTATAATTGGAAAACAAGGAACAGGTAAGAACACATTCTTTACAGATATCTTATGCAAACTGTTAGAGGGCTATTCGAACCCGAATATGACAAACTTAGAAAATATCTGTGGCAAGTTTAACTCTTCAATAGAGAATATGAAACTTATAGTATGTAACGAACTTCAAAGTATAGATACAACAAAAGTTTTAAACTCAGATGCTTTGAAGAGTCTTATAACAGACAAAGTTGGAGTTGTTGAAAGAAAATATAAAGACCAAAGAGTTTGTGAAAATGTTGTAAATTTCATTATGGTTTCAAACAATGCTGTTCCGATGAAGTTAGAAAGTTCTGACAGAAGATATGTAGTTGTCAGAACGTCAGATTCTCATATGCAAGATACAGAATATTTTGACGACTTAGCAGAAACTTTGACATCTGACTTTTACAACCACTTGTTCTCATATTTCATGACATTAGATATTTCTAAGTTCAATCCAAGACAAATTCCACATACCGAAGAGAGACAAACATTGTTAGAAGCAAACAAGAGTGTATATGAACTGTTCATAGATGAAACTGACTTTGTGTCATTAGATGAAAGGTCATTGTACGATTCGTATAAACAATATTGTCAAGAATATGGTTATATGGCAGCGTCTAAACGTACATTCTTGGCAAATGTCAAAAGTCTTTTAGACGTACAGAATGGTGTATATACAAAGAAAATTTTTTCTGAGTAAATTTAAAAAAAATATTTTTTTATTTTATTTGAAATGTACGCTGAGTTTGTTGGAAAAGACCGTTGGGAAACTTGTTTGTTAGATGAGAAATATGAAATTCACTGTTGTGAGTCATTTGAAGTCAGAAACAAAAAGACAAAAAGAGTTTTAAGCGGATGGGAGGGAAATAACGGATATGCTAGGATGAGGATTGGTGGAAAACACTATTTTAAACATGTTGTCATTGCAACTCATTTTATACCGAACCCTAACAATCTACCTTTTGTAGACCATATAAACCATATAAGAAACGACAATAGACTTGAAAATTTACGTTGGGTTACTCGTTCTGAAAACAATAAGAACAAAAGCAAATTTAGAGATATTGTATTCGAATTTGTCGACGAACTAGAAGATGAAACAATTGAAATTACAGACTATGGCAAGCATACGTTGGAGTTTTACTACTATAGCGAAGAACAAGACTCTTTCTACTTTTATACCGGCGTAAACTATAGGAAATTACAAGTATATTTTACTAAGGAAGGCTATGCTTATGTAAACACTAGAGATACAGATGGAAAATGCGTTCAAATACTTCTTAACAAATTCAAGAAGCTATATGGCATACCATTTTAAAACGTTTTTAAAAAAAAATATTTTTTTATCCGATAGAAAAGATGGCAAAATTCATCTCAGTAAATAAGTACATGACAGAAGTCAAAGATAAGTTAGCTCCATTCGCATATTTGAATGTTTACTTCTACCATTTTGAAAAGTCTTCATTTGACAAAGTTTGGAACATCGAACCAGTTAAGTTTGCTATTGTGACTAAAAATGGTGCGAAATTTGAAGACTTAGACATAGAAGGTTTGTTAGCAGTCAAAGAAAGTTTTGACAGAAGGTTCTCAAAACTCGAAGAAGGTAAAGCATACAAACTTGTTATACCTTATGAACCAAAGAAAGCAGACGACTATGAATATTATGAGTCTAAGATAGTTGAAGTTCAAGGTAAATTGGGTAAAAAGATTTTAGAGTCTAAGCCAGTGTTTGCTCCTAAAGAGGAAGAGAACATTGACATTGACCCAGAAATGTTCTAAAAATAAAATTTTATTTTTACATGTCATATCTCCCCTTCTCTGGAACTGGTTCAGGTTCTTTCTTCTCTTCTACTTTTTTCTCTTTCTTTCCTTTCTTCTTCTTTTCTGGTGGAGTTATGTCAAATTTCTCAGAACCATATTTTTGTAAAAGTTCTTTGTCCTTTAATAGCTCTTCTATTCTGTTTTCTATTTCATCTTCAAGAACAGCGCATGTGTCTTCTTTGCATTCTAAGAATTTTTGTTGGACTTCATCTCTCCAAGAGGCGTCATCTCTGTCAACAAGTCTGTCATTGACAAACTTAAAGACTGCTCTGCCTAATGTTTTATGGTTCTTGTCATATTCCCAGAAACAGAACTTTAGAACAAATTCACCTTTCTTGTTTACACTATGTAAGATTTTATGGTCGACAGATGTTTTGCTGTCGAAAAGCTTGTCTCGAATATAGATAGCGAAATCGCTAGACATTTTCTAAAAGATAAAAATTTTAATTTTTCTAAAAATATGTTAGAAAAAAAGTTTGCTGACATTGACAAGAAATTTGAGAATGTTTTAAACAAGAACAAGAGGAAGTTAGAAAATGCTCAGATAAAACCCATACATGACAAGTTCTTATTTGCTCAGAATGGTATAACAGGTCTAATTGCACCGCCTGGGTCGGGTAAGACTTTCACTTATCTTAAAATGGCTGCACAACAACAAGAACTAGATGAGAAGAACCCATTCTATGAGTTAGTTGTTATTTGTAGTACTTCTGGTCAATTTGACCAAACCGTAAATTCGTTCAAAGATATTATAAAGAAGTCTAAGTTAGTATGTATAAAAGACTCTGAGTTGTTAGATTGGATAAAGAAGTACCAAAGAAGAGTTTTGAAGTATAATGCTATAAATGAGTATATAAATTCTAAGTTTAAAGACCCAAATGAGGAAATGCAGAGAATATTAGAGAAGAAACACTTCAGAAACAAACAGAAAGAGATAGAATACATTTCGAAGAAATTGCAATCTTACGATTGGAAGACTTACCCTCATAGATGTCTTCTTATCTTAGATGACTTTGCATCTCATCCTTTGTTAAAGAATAGAGAACAAGATATGTGTCGAATTCTTAAGAAGCTCAGACACTTTAACATCTCAGTTGTCATTTGTGTACAGACAGCAAAGAGTTTAAGTAAGGATGTTAAAAGAATACTTACTGACATTATACTTTTCCCCGGATTGTCCGAAGACGATTTCATGGAACTTATGAAAGAGTCCATGGCAGGTAAGTTTGACAGACATGAACTATGGGAGAAGTACAAAGTCATACAAGACCCTCATACTTCTTTCAGAATTCATATCTACGCAAACAAAGTTCAAATTGTAAAAAGTCAAGCGTAAAAATAAAGAGTTCATTTACTCTGCTTGTTTGAAGTTGTCAAAATACTCTGTTATTTTTTCTTTCAGTAGCGGTAAGTCTTCTTTGAAGGTAAGTATTGTACAACCTTTAATATCATAGTGTGTTTGAGGTAAAGTATCTTGAACTATTTGTTTCACATCTTCATTCGGTGTCATTGAAATCGGTAAGTTTTCACGATAGAACCAATTTCTGTCAGATTTGTAAATCTTAGCAAGGTCGTAAAAGCTTTTGTTGTTTCTTCTGACTAAATGCAACATAACCATATCTCTGTCTTCTTCATTTTCCATCTCTTCAGTATAAATCATATACTTATAGTTCTTTTCCTTTCCTTTTGGTACCGAACGTGGTATTCTTTTCTGTATGTTTTTGTCTTTTGCTTCAAGCTTGTTCTCTAGCTCTTCACGTTCTTGTCTATGAATTTCATCTAACATCATGAAAATATAACAAGCATAGCGAGGTGAAGCCCACATTGCAACAGCATTTACAAGAAGTCTATGTACATAATATCCTCTCAAACCGTTTGGCAATTTTTCACGATTTTCGTACGGAATCTCGACCGGCTGTTTTCTACCGGTCGCAAACATATGAGGAAATTCTTCTAAAAGTTCTTTTGTCTGTTGGTTTTCAAACCAATGACGTGCTTGCTTTGTAGAACGAAGAGCATTCAAAATACTTTGCATTTGGTACATATCGTCTTTGACCGAACGAATGAGACGTAACTGTTTGTTATACTGTATGTACTCATATTCTTCATTTATAGCTTCATGGACTATAACTGTTGTTGTGTTCTCTGTTGTTGACATATCTGTCTTTACATACAAAATAAAAAAATAAATAAAAATAAAACTAACTTTATTTTTTCTGTCTTAAGGAAACTCATGATTTTTGTGCTGAATTCAATAAAAATATAATTTAGGGTAGAAGGTTAGATCTAACCTCCTTTCTACCCTCTTTTCTACCCCAGTTATTTTATAAACGTTTCACATGGTAAACGTTATTTTTTAAATTTTGTGAAAACTCAACGGTTTGACACATGCCCTAAAAATTATAGTTCATCTAACATCATGAAAATATAACAAGCATAGCGAGGTGAAGCCCACATTGCAACTGCATTTACAAGAAGTCTATGTACATACCAACCTCTCAAACCATTTGGCAAATTTTTACGATTTTCATAGAGTTTTGGCGACCCCGATGGAAGTCGGGCTCGCTGTTCTTCACTGTTTTCAGAAAAAAGTATGTCTCGCTGTGCTTCGCTCAAAAGTTCTTGTGTGCTTTGGTTTTTGAACCAATCGTCTGTATGTTTGGTATCTGGAGCAAAACATGCTGTCAAAATACTTTGCATTTGGTACATATCGTCTTTGACTGAACGAATGAGACGGAGTTGTTTGTTAAACTGAACCCACTCATATTCTTCACTTATAGCTTCATGGACTATAACTGTTGTTGTGTTCTCTGATGTTGACATATCTGTCCTTACATACAAAATAAAAAAATAAAAAAAAATAAAACTAACTTTATTTTTTCTATCTTAAGGAAATTCATGAAAATTCAAGAGGGTAGAAAAGAGGGTAGAAAAGAGGTTAGATCTAACCTTCTACCCTAAACATTATTTTTACTGAATTCAGCAACAAAATTCAAATTGTAAAAAGTCAAGCTTGAAAAATGTAAGTGTTTAGTCTTAGTCTGTTGTGGTGCTGGGGCTGTCGGTTCTTCTGGCTTTGGAAGACATTCAGGAAGAGGAACGTCAGCCATCCGTTTGTGTCCTGTCGGAAGGAAGGACTTTTCCTGTTGGAAGGAAGGACTCGGAATGTCGGAAGGAAGGACTCGGAATGTCGGAAGGAAAAACTCGGAATGTCGGAAGGAAAAACTTTTTCTGTCGGAAGGAAAAACTTTTTCTGAAGTTCGACCAAAAAGTTCTCAATTTTCGAAAATTTGAATGGTTTACGGACGAACAACAGGAAATTTTTTTCCAGTTGTCGGGAAATTTTTTTCCAGTTGTCAGGAAATTTTTTTCCAGTTGTCGGGAAATTTTTTTCTTGTTGGAAGGAAGGACTTGGAATGTCGGATGGAAGGACTCGGAATACCAGAAGGATTTGACAAGACAATTTACCTTATAGAGCTACCTGAGCCATCTGAAGTCAAGCGTAAAAATAAACGCTTTACATGTATTTTTCAGCAACTTCGTCAAATAATTTTATAGCTTTACCTATCTCATCTACTTCAAACGTTTCTTTACCTTTTATGGGAGCACCATACATTTTCTCAAACTTTTCAAGTAGTTCTGTTTCTGCAGCTCTCATATCGTTAACGAACACAACCTTAACTCTATTGACTGTACTGTCATATCTTTGAGTTATATTATATGTTCTTCCTATCTTATATCTCTTTGTATTGAAGTCCTTCGGTTTCTGAACGATGTAAAGTAAGCCTTCACTGCAACGTTCTGAGTCGAACGAACCATATGTTATGAAGTTATATCCAACAACAGTTAGTATACAAGTCTTGGGTATGGTGGCACTGCGTTCCACCTTACCCAATACTTGTGAATTTGACACTTTACAAAACCGTTAACGTATATTTTACAACATGAACGCAAAAACTAATTTAACCTTAAATATTTACAAAGCCGCCAACCACTTCACTAACGAACTCACTAATGTAAAAAATAAACGTTCTCACTATCGTTCTCACTAACGACTTCACTAATGTTCTCATAAATTTTCCTCAATATCTTCATCATCAGTGTTAACCCTATTGTAGTCATACTTGAAGCCATAAACTTTCTCTAACTTCTTAACGTACAATTTACATAACTTACCTTCGTCATCGTATGGTTTAATGATATAACTATTTCTATCTTTATAAACAGTCAATGAAAAGTCAACTGGTCTCGGATGTATTTGAAAGAACATGTTATGCTCAGGAAGGAAGAATAAATGTTTAAATGTATGTTTGTTATATGTTTTGATTTGTATGAGTTGCTTTTGTTCTGTCATTACATCCAAATAAAATAAAAATAAAATAAAAATAAACTTAAAAATTAATGATATCACCACCCGCACACGTATGAAAACATAGCACAAAAATAAATTTAGGGTAGAAGGTTAGATCTAACCCGATATCTAACCTCTTTTCTAACCTGTTGAATTCATTGCTTTATAACTCTCTTCCTTTCTCCAACTCTTCTAACTTCTTCTTAAGTTCAGCAATGTTGTCCTCATGAAGTTTAATCTTTCTCAAAATTCCTTCTCTATCTAATGGTTGCTTTATCTTTCTAAACTGAACTCTACCATCCTTCATAGTATGAACGTAAAAACCTTCTGGAATAATTCCTGATTTAATGTATTCTACCAAAAACTTTTGTTTCATTGCTTCAGTGACTTTAGTCGTCATTTCAATCAAATAAAAATGTTCAAATAAAATAAAAATAACGTTATTTTTTCAGTAAGGAAACGCAGGAGTTTTACGATTTATTTGAGGCGTAGGTTCTGGTTTAAATGTTGGAGTCGGTTTAGGAGTTGACTTTTGAACAGGAGTTTGTACTTCCATAGGTTCAGGAGTCATTGAAGGTTTTGCTTGTGAAGGCGTTGGTTTTGACGAAGGTGTTGGAGTTTGTTTAACTTCAGCTACTTCAGTATTATTTATAACATTTGCTTTATTTCTTTTCAACATCATAACTGCTCCTGCTGTAGCTAGCAAACCTAGTGGGAGACCATATCTTATATAAGGACTTGACCAAATGCTATTTTTGACAGGAGCTGGTGGAACACCTAACCTTGGTGAGACTGCTCTTTGCCATTGTGCAGCTCGTAAGAAATATTCAATAGGTGCTCCATAATCGTTTGGTAAAGTTTGTTTCATAGATGGTGAAGGTTCACGAGAGCTTGATGAAGAACTCATTTATAAGCTTTAAAAATAAACGTTCATCCTTTATTCCTCACTGTCGTCCGTGCTAAGTTATAGTCGTCAAGTCTTATTATTGGTATGCCTGACTGTCTTACTTGTATTGCAAAGCAACAATCCCTCATAAATCCAATAAGTGGCTTTGGTACATTTTCAGTTGCTAGTTCAATAGGTCCTTTAACAGACAATTTGTATGTTATTGGAGCAGTAGATGTTTGACCTTGCTGGAAGCAAAAGTCCACTTCTGTTGGAAAACCACATAAGAAATGTGTGTTGTCATAGCTATCCCATTTATGTTCCACACTACCATCATCCACCAATGACCTCATAACATCTTCATTAAATCCTATCATATCATTGTTTGTATTGCAAGCGTTCGCAACCATTTCATAAAATACAGGTCCATATGATTTTTCAGGTTCTGCAGGCATATTTCCATAAGCTCCCATGGAAAGCTGAAGATATTTAAACTTAGGGTTCTCAAAATTAACATAATAGTTGTCTTTCTTTCTAAATAGTGCCCAAATACTTTTAACATTAATAGGCGTATAAGCTGCTGTAAATGTTGCACTTGAACTATCTGTATTCTTTGAGAATGAACCGTCCATAGGAATCCAATCCATAACTTTAACAGGAAAACATAAAGCCTCGTTTGTATAATGTTCTACAAGTTCTGTATAAATGTTAGGGTCTAAAGAGAATGACTTTGGATGAATGAAACATTCATTAAAATCCATCTTTGTTCGAAATAGTTGCTGGTTACAGTTGTAATAGTAACTGTTCCACTAGCTTCTATGCCTTCGTTATCATAGTGAATGGTTCATTCCATGGAACAAATTTATTTGTCGGTGGATTTGAATCTGAAGCAAATGCAACTTTAAGAGTTGGATTGAAAGCAATGATATCATTTACAGATATAGATGTGCATTGTAAGGCGTCGCTACTGAACTTTACTTTAAGCTGAATGTTTCCTGCAAAAGCTGGAATAAATCGAATAGCTTCTAATGGAAGGAATCTTCTAACAGGAATTCTTAAACGAAGCTTAAAATCAAATGATTTTCCTGCTGTAATTGGACCACTAACAATTTGTCCTGTTCTGCATGTTCCCGAATGACTCCATACATCTTCATGTCGAGTCTTTGAGAAAACATCTACTTTCTTTATTTGTTCGGTAGTTTGTGAGTTTGAAGTTATATATGCTTCTTCTCTTGCGTTGTCTTGAGAATATACGATACGACCATTTGCAAGGATTTGATATCCAGCAACTGCATAGAAAGCGTCATCGAAACCAATCCAAAATCCTGGTGGGTTTGTTTTATTGGAACCTGAACCAATTTCTTTATCTGCAATAAATTGACCTTCCATTTTATACGTAATGAATGTATTGTAAAGGTCCAACATATTTTCACCAGGAGGTGAGAGATTGAATGTTACCCATGTGTTATCTTTAGCAGTTCCAGGTTGTGATGGAATCTTTGCGTCAGAATATTTTCTATTAGTGTCACCAATTTGAACTGCATTGTCTATGATATCGAAATATGAGCGAATCTGATGAATATGCTCTGCTGGAGTAAATTCGTTTAGCTGTTCGTTCTGCATGTATTTACTTCAGATAAAAATATCTATTTACTTCATTATTCTCACTCTTCTTCTTGGTATTCGTGGTGGAAGTTGTTTCTTGACATTTTCAATGAACTGTACATTCTCTTTTGTCTCAACTTCTTTCACTGGCGGGTCAGGGTTCTTTGACTCGGTTTGTTTTTCAATGAAATTCACGAACTTTGCAATAAGCTCTTGGTTCGTTATTGAAAGTACATCTGGCTTCTTTTCTTCTGGTTCTATTGACTTTTCAGTTTGAACAGAAGGTTTTATATGGGCTTCGTGGACTTCCCCTTGCCATGCACCTTAATGTTGTCGCTCTCTGCATTCGCTAATGGAACCTTTCTTTTTCTTACGTATATTTTACCATCTTTACTCTGACTTACGTAATAGAAAGGATGTTGTATTCCTCTTGCGTCATTTAATATAATAGACTCTCGCTCTGATTTTGACAAGCTCATTTTACATCGGTTAAAGTTTTAATTTAGTTTTTTATCTGCAGTCAAATGACTCAGACAAGCCCTACGGACAAGACCCAGGTGTCATAGATGTTGAAGCATTGAAGAAAGAAATTCGCGAGCAAATTTTATCCGAACTGAAGGAACAAAAACAAGAACAAAAGCCAGAGAGACCAAAGAGAAAACTTAGTGAAAAACAACTAGCTGCATTAGCTGCTGGAAGACAGAAGAACCCACGTTTGCTGGCGAAAAAAGCTAGAGAAGAAGCAAAAGCTAAAGAAGCTGAAGCAAAGAAAGAGTAAATGGTTTATTTTTATCCGAATTAAATGTATAGACAAATACCTTTAACTGTTGCGTTCAGTAGTGAAAACCCTGACGTCAAAATAAAGGGGAACAGAGTAACGTTTAAGTTTCCAACAGACTGGATTGTGAACATAAATGAAGAGAAGTACATTGGCATAACATCTATGTATATAACACGTGCTTTCAGAAAGGTTGACTTTATACTTCAAGTCGAGATAGAAAATGACGAACAGTCTTTAAGCGCCCAAAACATTCACATATACAAATACTTTAAAGACGATACAACATTGCAACAATGTATGATTTCATTTAATGAGATGTTCGAGAAAAAGTTCAACATTGAAGTACAAACTTTACAGCCTTTACGTGAGTTTCTTGCACAACTGAAAGAAGAAGGTAGTCAGCCACAACTTATAGACTTTCATTATGAATTTAATGAAAATGAAGATGGAACTCATGACTGTCAATTCATTGTATTCTCACCATTCAATGAAGTCGCTAAAAAGAAAGAAAATCCATTACGTATAAGATTTCAAATCTCCGAACCAAGTGATGATTTTAAGAATGTTTTCAATTATGATGCAATGCTTCCGAGGAAAAATGAATTTTCAAAGATTGTAACACCTGGCATTTGGGATAGAAAGCAAGCAATACTTTACTCTAATATAGCCAAAGGCGTTGAAAATGAGTTCATTGGTCATACAAGAACTTCACCACTTCCTAACCCTAAATACTATAAATTAACTGGCTTCAATCGTGAGTTTTGGATAGACATGTACTCCACTCATGACCATAAATGTCCAGTGTTCTTGCCTCCAGATGGGAAGGACTGTCTCTACATTGAAGCACAACTCTTAAACTCTACCATCGCAGTATTGTAAAATCTACGCTAGCTTTATTTTTATCACGAATGACCTCATTGCTGACAAAAATAAATGACCTCAGAACTTCAACTTACGAATAAAGCTTGTTTTAGTCGTTATTGAAAAGTTGAACTTTTCAGCAAAGCAAGGTTGACATGACTTACATAAGTCGAATGCAATCTCTTGACCATCATGAAGTGCTTTGTAAAGTTTCATTAAACTGAACTCAGAGTCTTTGTCATATGTTCCAACAGGTATGTGAATGTTCTTATCTTCATTGTAATAGCATTGTATAGCTTCAGGAAACATTTCATTAGCGGTTAAAGCAATAACATCTTGCTTCACGCCTTTCATTCTGCAGTGAAATGCAACTTCATTTAAATCGTTAGTGAGTAAGTCTATGTAGGTCTTCTTTCCACAGAAAATACTTTTATAAGCTAAACTTTGTTTTCCAGGTGTTATTTCTGCAAAGTCGCTATGAAATTGACCAAGGTTCTTTCCTATAAGTTCGCGACCATATCTCTTCTTAAACTCTGCTGCAAGCTTTGGGATGTCTTCATTATATAAGTGCATACTGTCGGTATCCTGGTAAAAGATTTGAAGTCCCATGTCCTCTGCAGTACAGAATACTTCATTCATAATACGTTTTGACATAGACAGAATATTAACACCAAGTGGACAGAAGTTAAAGTGTCTGCAAATGCTTTTCGTTAGCTTGAAAATAGTTTTATCTGAACCATCCAAACCTTCGAACTTCACTATATGGTTGTAATTTCTTATAGCATATCTTATAGCATCTTTGTCATCTACTATGGTTATTTTTGACTCAATAGGAGATAGAATAGTTTTGCCATAAATGCTGTTCAGAATGAGTTTTATAATTTCTTGTAAGGGGTTTTCTTCTTTCTTATACTTTAACCTTAACTCAAACAACTTCTTTACTTCATCTCTTATTCTCATATCTCTGTTTCCATCGTAATAGTATCCTTGCAACACTTCACATTTGACACCTTGATATTTTATGAGGTCTTGTAATGTTATATGGTCAACATACATGAGACAGCAAGTGTTTGAACTTCTTGGAACGTTAAGTTCTGGATTTAGTTCAGGGTCGCAAACTATTAAATGAAAGTGTCTGGGTATACCAATCTCTGTTATCTTAATGAGAACAAAGAAGCCAGACATAAACTTTTCACCAATGGGTTCCTTTTGGTCGTCATCGAATAAATGTCTCATGAGATACTCTGTGCTTAACATTTCTTCCTTCAATACTTTTGGAATACCTTCTAAAGTATAAAGTCTTGCTATAGCTGAAGGATATAATGAAACAGTGTCGAAGTCAGCAATGAGTTTCTTTTTGCTCTTTTGTTTCATGTTATCTGACAACATACATCTTCCACCTTGAATGCATCTCGAAATAAATTCTCTTGGTTTATTTGAGAGGTCATAAAGATTTCCATTCGGGAAGTATACTCTGTTCTCAAACAATTTGTTAGCAATAGAACAAATACTAACGTAGTCATAAACGTTTAAATCAAACTCTTTCAATAAGTCATTGCGGAACTTTACAAAACCTTCTCTTAAAATTCTTACATCTTGTTTGCAGTAAAACGTGCTATATTTTTCTAAGTCGAAGTGGTTTTCATCTATTCTGCAACCTTTGATGGAATCTATGTTCTTCATAAATGTATCTGCATCATGGATAAACTTACATGCTTCAGAAATGACACCAGTTCTGTTGTCATTTGCTAACAAAACACTGCTGTAGTAGTTATATGGAAATACTTCTTTCGGTCCTGTTTGTAAGTTAAACATAGCAGGAAATAGTTTAAGCTTCTTATTTATAACACTGTAAGAGTCTTTTATAATAATTGCCCTTCCTTTATATAAACCAGTTATTTGCATTGTTCGTGAACCTTTAATGATGGGAGTTCCTTTCACTTCTGTCATGTGTCTTAAGATGAAGTTTATGTCATAACTGAGGTTATGGAAATATATTAAACTCTTGTCAGGAAGTCTTTCCAAAAATTCTGTTGCACAGTTTTGACCCCAAATACTTTCACTAACTGAACCATCTTCACTGTCATAACAGATGTTAAAAGCTTTATGAAAGCCATCCGTACTACACTCAAAGTCAGCAAAGAAAACGTGCTCAGGTATGAACTTACATTTAGCTTTATTTACTTCTTTTGACTCTGCTTTCTTCTTCAGTTGTACACAATACTTTGGAGCATATGTCAAATCTTTAAATGGTGCAAGGTTCTGTTTATATAAGTCAGTCGTATATGTGAAAAGTTCTCCATAAGAAATAGGTTCAAAATATTTGCACTCCCACAATGTTTTCATAACATCCCATAGCGGTGTAGTTCTATCCATGCGAACTACATATTTATCTTCTCTCTTTGTATATATTTTCATCTGTTTTTCAATGTTCATTCCACCACACTCCTTCAAGATTTCTATATAGTTTCGAATGAAATATGTTGTCATTGGAAGTCTTTCATTTAGCATGTAGTGGTCTTCAACAAGAAGTAAGTCAATAGTTCGAACAGTTTCACATTCTTTTGGTATGTATCTCTTTATTTCATTATGTCTTGAGTCATTGAAGTAACCAATGGTAACATTAAATGCTATACCTGTTGCGTCAGAAATTTCTTGTACTTTACTTTGAGGAAAGTCTCTAACACGAATGACTTCTCTCATGTGGTCAATAGTTTCTTCATTTACTCCAGCCTGAATGCAAGCATAAACGAAGCAGTTATCTTCTGTCATAAGTGTTGCAGTTCTTTTGTTCAGTTCATTGAAGATTTGGTAGCGTTCAAGATTTATAGGTAATGTGCAAAGATACTTCCAGAACTGACCGCTTCTCTTCTTATAAAACTTCTTTTCACCATTATCTTTCCAAAAGCTTTCTATAAGTGCTGGGTTTCCTGTTTGCTTAAGAGCTTCCAAAATGGCTTTCTGGTCATTTGTCAGTGTGCTTTCATCTCTATATGGTCTCTTTTTTGGTTTGCCTTTCTTTACATCTGACATCGTTAAGCCTTCATATTCTGTTAAATCATACATCTTTATTTCGTAAGATTCTTTATGTTTGTCAAGAAGAAGTCATAGTGCATTTCAACAATACCTGCAGCATTTGCTTCTATCTCTGATATAAAGTTCTCCTTCAAGAGCTGATGTAGTAATGTTCCAATATTATTGAGGTTTAACGTAGAACATTCATACTTTCCACCAAGTTTATAACATACCATCCATCTCTGTTGGGAGTTTATTTTAATTTTCTCTAAGAGTCTCATGAAAACCTTACCGAAATGTTTGTGTAAGTAGTCTCTGTTTGGTTCATCTAAAGCTTCGATGTTAAAGTCAATGAGTCTATTGCCTGACTTCACATTCCTCTTCCTATTTTCTTCATCTTTCTTTAACCATCTCTCACCTTCTTTTGGTTTGTCGTCAATGGAACGAATGACATTATTAGCTTTGCGAACTTGTTCTATAGCACTTTTAAACATCTCTCTTCTCTGTTGTTTCAGTGTGTCATCTCTCTTTCGTGTTTCACCAACGTTTGCATTTGTTATGTCAAACATTTCTCTTCTTACTTCATGTGGTACAGCTCTTCTTGTTTCACCAACGTTTGCATTTGTTATGTCAAACATCTCTTGACGAACGTCATGTGAAAGAGCTTTACGAGTATGACCAACGTTTGCATTTGTTATGTCAAACATTTCTCTTCTTACTTCATGAGGTATTGAACGTCTATGATATAAGTCAATAGCAACGTCATTTAAAGGAAATGCTCTTGCATGGACTTCGTCCTCGCCGCGTTGCGGCTTTATGAACTCATGAATTCTATCATAAGTTATTTCACCATTATAGTCATTGAGGATGTCAGCGAGTGCCTTTTTGTTTGTTGTGTAATGCTTTGCAACATCTATATTAGCTTCTGTAAGAAGTTGTTTTATTTCCGAGTGTTCTAACTTAGACAACTTCCGATACATCTTTAGTAGGAAATAAAAAAATATTTTTTGAAAAAATAAACTTAGAAAAATTATTTCTTTCTATATTTGCCATTCCGAACTTCGAAAAGATGTTTTATACCAGCATAGAATTTTTCTCTAGAGCTTGGTCTTATATTGTTTTCATGACAATATTTTCTATATTCTTCATATAAAGCCTTTTTTTCATACATTTCATAAGGACAATCTAACCAGAATAGTGCATATCCAGTTTCGTTATCTAGGTCTCTATATGTTTCTTCTGTTTGTAGAATTTCGCTTTCTTCTATTTGTAGAATTTCGCTTTCTCTATTTAGTTCTATGACTATATATTGTGGCTTAAAAAGATGTGGGCAAGAAGGGTCTGGCGCTATGTAAAAAGTTAATTTTTCTGTCATCTTTTCTATCGGATAAAAAATATTTTTTGAAAAAATTAGATTAGATTTTTTTAAGTTATTTTTCAAAATAATTTAATATTTTTATTTTAATGAAACACATGCAAGATTGCAAGTTCTTTTCATACAATGCTCTCGCTACTGTCATCAAGAATGAGTTCAATAATGCTTCAAACGTCAATGTTATCTTTAACAAGAAGTTTGTGAAAGAATCTAAGTTTGGTCAGTATGTCAGACCATTAGCTATTGTCATTGACCGCAAACGTTATACTTCACAAGAGTTAGCAGTAGTTTTGAAACAAAAGGGTTTCTTCGTGAATGTCAAAGATACTCATTATACTATTATAAAGAACTCCAACATTGACTTCTTCAGTATTGCTATGAATCTTTCCGAACAGAAAGAATATAAGAAGGGTGAAACAAATGTGAAATATTATTCTTCATCTCTGAAAACAATAACGAACAAAGATGTTATACAAAAGTTCTTACCAAAGGTTGAAGAAGCTTCTATTGACATTGACGAAGGAAGTGAAATGGTTGAAGAAATTGACCCTGACGTCATTTAAGCAAAAATATATTTTTGGTTAGTCTTCATATCGATATTTTACAACAATTCCCCAATGTATAAACTTTTCATACGCTTTTTCATAAGCTTTATATACCTTCAGAAATTTTGCATAATCTTTAGAAGCATTTAGATATTGTTTAAATGCTTTGTATGTCTTCAGAAATTTTGCATAATCTTTTACATGTTGTTCGTTCTCTTCTTCTGTCATGAGTTCCGAATATTCTAAATTCATGTTCTTTCATATGAGATAAAATTTTATAAAAAAATAAAATTAGCTTAGATTTTTTTATTCTTCCTCTTTGAAGTTATCGAAATATTCTGTTATTTTTTCCTTCAGTAATGTTAAGTCTTCTTTGAATGTAAGTATTGTGCAACCTTTGATGTCATAGTGTGTTTGAGGAAGAGTATTTTTGACAATTTCCTTTATTTGCTCATTCGGTGTCATTGAAATCGGTAAGTTTTCACGATAGAACCAGTTTCTGTCAGATTTGTAAATCTTAGCAAGGTCATAAAAGCTTTTGTTGTTTCTTCTGACTAAATGCAACATAACCATATCTTTATCTTCTTCTTTCTCCAACTCTTCAGTATATATCATATACTTATAACTCTTTTCCTTTCCTTTTGGTACTGAACGTGGTATTCTTTTCTGTATGCTTTTGTCTTTGGATTCAATGACTTCATCTTTTGCTTGAAGTTTCTTTTCCATCTCTCCACGTTCTTGTCTATGAATTTCGTCAAGAAGTCTGTAAACATGCCATGCATAACGAGGAGAAGCCCACATTGCAACTGCATTTACTAAAAGTCTATGAACATAATAACCTCTTAAATTTATTGGCAAATTTTTACGATTTTCATGTGTTTTTATGCAAGACCGAAAAAAGTCGGTCTAGAGAAATTTCACTCAAAAGTTCTTGTGTGCTTTGGTTTTTGAACCAGTCGTCTGCGTGTTTAGTGTCTGGAGCAAAACATGCTGTCAAAATACTTTGCATTTGGTACATATCGTCTTTGACCGAACGAATGAGACGGAGTTGTTTGTTAAACTGAACCCACTCGTATTCTTCATTTATGGCTTCATGAACGATAGCAGTTGTTGTGTTCTCTGTTGTTGACATATCTGTCCTTACATACAAAATAAAAAAATAAATAAAAATAAAACTAACTTTATTTTTCTGTGTTAAAGAAATGTTAAAAATTCAGGGTTACATATGTGAAAAGAAGTCACGAACAAATGAAGGTCATAAGATTCAGCACATAATTCTGAATTGAATGGTGTGTCATACATGTCAAGCCGTCAAGAATTGAAGGAGATACGAGGCTATAAAGATTTTGGATATTTTCTGACACACACCCTGAGGGAAAAGTGACAAAACACGACGATAGAAAAAAGTGACAAAATTGAGAGAAAGTTGTTTCCCGACCAAAATGCAATCATGTTGAAAAAGTGACATTTGTAAAGTTAGACGATAGGATTTCCTGAAAAAGTGCAAGACTTGTTCTGAATCAGGACAAGATTTGTCTTGAAAAAATACAAGACTTGTTCTGAAAAAATACAAGACTTGTTCTGAAAAAATACAAGACTTGTCTTGAATCAGGACAATTGTTCTCAAATTTGAGAACTTTACAAGAAAAACTGACTAAAAAGTGCAAGACTTGTTCTGAATCAGGACAAGATTTGTCTTGAAAAAATACAAGACTTGTTCTGAAAAAATACAAGACTTGTTCTGAAAAAATACAAGACTTGTCTTGAATCAGGACAAAACTTTACAAAATGTAAACTTTACATAACCGTTTCTATCGTACATGATATTTAGTTGACATTGTAAACTATCTTCATGTAAAGTATGGCGGTTTGAAACCGTCGGGAACCTTCACTTTTTTGACGAACTTTCCGCAGCAATTTTTAAAATTTGTGAAAACTCAACGGTTTGACACGTGCCATATGTCATTTTACTCAGAATTTTGTGCTGAATTCAGCAAAAATAATGTTTATGTTAGCATGTTAGATCTAACACGTTTTCTAACCTCTTTTCTAACATAACTATTTACAAGCGTTTTACATGGTATATGTTGCGATGGTTCATGACTTTAAACAGTTTTGTAGCTTCTATTTCTTCTTTTAGTACATCGAATGTTTTAACAATGCCGAAGGTTTCTTTATATTTCTTCTTGACGTCAGATAGAAGGAAATCGTCAGCAGTTGGATAATTTTTGTTCAGAAATGCTAACATGTCCATTTTATCTTCTGCTGGCTTTTCTACTTCTTTCTTTAAATCTGCATAGTCGTTTCTCATTCTTTCTATCTCTTTGACGGAGTAGTTATATTTCCTCATCGCTGCCTTACATTTTGAACATTGCGGGTTCATTTTTGCGTTATACATTGAAATTTGACCTGCTAAAACAACTAAGGCGTCAATTGCTCTCTTCATCTCAAACATAGCGGGTCTTAGTTGTTCGTTCCATACTTTGCCTCTTCTATCTTTATCTCTTATTTCCCAAACACATTCAGCAACTAATGAAACAAAGTTATCGTAGGTCTTAAATTCTTCAGATTTATATATGTCAGAAACATTCTTATAAACCATGTCGCAATCTTTGTCCATAACTTTATGGTTGCAATGAAAACCAAGGAATTCATAATTTACTTTACGTATGAACTTCTTTATTTCTACTGAGTCAGTTGTTTTGACTTCAATTTCGTCGAATTCAGGAATAGTTAGTTTTTGTTGTTGGATTTCAGGCAATTTGGGTAAATGGTCAATAATGTCCTGCATTTCATAAAGATACTGTTCATTTGTTTCATCTTTCGCACTACAGTCTAAATTACTTGTTAAAAGTTCTTGCTTTATCTTCTGGATTTTTGTTTCGAAAGTATATGAAGAAGGAATGAAGCTTTTCATCTCTACTAACATAGATGTTGGATTCATGACTAACGAGTTTGGTGCTGTAGTTTGAATTGTTGTTGTGCCGATTGTTGAAATCATATCTTTACATACAAGATAAAAATTTTTCTTAGAAAAAAATTAGCGTTATTTTTCTTTCATAAGGAAATGTCAAAAATTCATGATTTTCGAGAGTTTTAGACCATGTTAGAAAAGTGGTTAGAAAACGTGTTAGATCTAACATTCTAACATAAACATTATTTTTTGGTGTAAATAAATGGTACCATTAATGATATCATGACTGTTCTCATTCATGTCTGATTTACATCTAATGAAAAAGTTTAGAAGAATTTTCTTATTCTTTCTGGCATATTTTTGTCTTTCCAGTACTCCCGCTCTAATGGTCCCAGATGTGTTGGCTTTGACTCTCTCAAGTTCTTAGATGGTATAACATCTTCAACACCTCCTTCATATCTTACTTTATAAGTGTCATCGTTTATGTTGTAGCCAAGTATTTCAATAACCACTCCTCGCTTTGCTTCGTCAATGGTTTCAGCAAGTTTGCCATTACTACTTTCAACTAACTTATGTCGAGGGTAAAATGCTATGGAGTCGTCAGCAGCTTTTATAAGATATCCATTACCTTGTGTAGAGTCTACGATATAATAGTTTCTACTTAACCTTAAACGTTTCTTTGTCAACGGTTTGTCGTCAAGAACTACACGAACTTTTGTACCAGGAATGAGGGTAAATTGTGTTGAATTTCTGATATTTTGTGTTTGGCTTCGTTTCTTTTGTATATACTTTTCTTCTTGTTGTTGTGTCATTGAATTTGGTGTATGTCCTGTTGTAGAATGTGTTGAGGAATTATATACTTCGAGAAAATGTTTCATTGTTTCTTCGGTAAAGTCTCGCTCTTGATTTAAATCTCTGAGCGTTCTTATGAAGCGGTTTATGATGCCGAGTATGTTATGGTTATGGTCTTCAGTAGTGTAGTGAGTTATGTTATGCTTAATGAGAAATTCTGTGATTTCATTGCTGAGGTATGCACTGTCTTGGTCTGATGTTAAAGTACTTGGGTTATGTTCTGCTACAAACTTTTGTAAAACTCTTAACACTTCACGAGTTCCTTTATTTTTCATTGGATATGCATATGCTTTA